ATTCTCTTGTCTCAGCCTCCTGAGTAGCTGGGACTACAGGCGCCCGCCACAACGCCTGGCTACTTTTTTGTTGCAGTTTGCCCGGGGCCGGGTTTGAATCTGCCACCCTCGGTATATGGGGCCGGTGCCCTACTCACTGAGCCACAGGAGGTGCCCGGGTGACAGCAGTTTTAGAGGATTTATTATGTTCCAAGGAGGTAGGCAGTTTGTCATGGAGGTCATGTCTTTTGAAGGTCAACAGCTGAAGAAATCTGACAGGAGATAGACATATTTGTTTCCCTAGTTACAAGGATATTGTTGAATCCTTAGCTTCAACTATTATACTTGGCCTCTAAAACATTTGTTAGTATGCTTGGTGCTCTACAGGCTAAAGCAAATGCTAGTCCTTTGACTTACCATAAAGAAATACCTTTTTCTTTTAATTTCAGGTTAATGTGAGGGTACAAACAACTGAGTCATAATATTTGAATTTGCTATGTAGGGTCCCCCTTGTAGTTATGTCCCACACCCAAAAGGTGTGCCATTCACCCCTACCGTGTGCCCATTAAATGAACCCTCTCCCTAATTTCCCTCCCCATCCCCTAGTTTGAATTGAACTGAGTTTTTCTCCTAGGTGAACATGAATTAGATCGTCTACTGGCTTCATATCAGTATTGAGCACACTGGATATTTTTGTTTTGTTTTGAGACAGAGTTTTATTATGTCACCCTCGGTAGCGCGCCATGGTGTCACAGCTCACAGCAACCTCAAACTCTTGGGCTTAAGCAATTCTCTTGCCTCAGCCTCCCAAGTAGCTGGGATTACAGGTGCCCACCACAACACTTGGCTTTTTTGTTGTTGTTGTTGTTGCAGTTGTCATTGCTGTTTTAGCTGGCTGGGGCCAGGTTCAAACCCACCACCCTTGGTATATGAGGCCAGTGCCCTACCCACCAAGCCACAGGAGCCACCCAATAGATCAATTTTTATAACATGCCCAATTAGTTATCACGTGACTATTAAAGAAATCAACATACTAATTGATTCTTTTTCCTATGTATGCAAAAATGTCTTACAGGATTTTAGAGACCAAAATTAAAGTATTTTTCCCCAGATAATATTGTTGAGACTATAAATTGCCTACAACTAATTTCTTAAATGATTCTAAATTCTAGAGCACTAAGGAAGAAATTAAGAAACAATATCCATTTACATAGTGATTTTTTTTATTTTTTTGAGAAAGAGTCTCCCTCTATCACCCCAGCTACAGAGCAGTGGCATCATCACAGCTCACTGCAACATCAAACTCCTGGGCTCAACTGATCCTCCTACCTCGGCTTCCTATGTAGTTGGTATTATAGGTATGTGTACTACCACACTAGCTAATTTATTTCTATTTTTTGGTGGAGACAGGGTCTCACTCTTGCTCTGGCTGGTCTTGAACTCCTAACCTCAAGCAGTCCTCCTGCGTTAGTCTCCAAAAAGTGCTAGGATTACAGACATAAGCCATCACACCCAGCCCTACACAATGATTTTTTTGTTTGTTTGTTTGAGACAAGAGTCTCAAGCTGTTGCCCTAAGTAGAGTCCCATGGTGTCATAGCTGACAGCAACCTCCAACTCTTGGGCTCAAGTGATTCTCGTTTTTTTCTATTTTTAGTAGAGACAGAGTCTCACTTTTTGCTCAGGCTGGTCTCAAACCCATGAGTTCAAGCTATCAGCCTCGGCCTCCCAGAATGCTAGGATTACAAGCATAAGCCACTGTGCCCAGCCACACAATGATTTTTTTAACTGCTCTTTTGTGATTAGAAGAAACTTCCTTACTCTTCCTTTTTTATTTATGGCAAGAGTAATTCGCTATCTAAGAGTAATTCACCAAGATAGAGAATACCAAGAGTAATTCACATCAAAGTCTTACCTGAATTGCTATTTTGAGAAGGATTTTCGGGTATCTTTTCTTCTTTATATTCAGAAATTAGTTGGCGACTGCTATGAAAAAAGATAAAATAAATAAAATTAACACTTTACTACTAATATGAAAAACACTTACCAAATCTATTAAATTCGTAAAGTATTTCAGACAATTATCAGAGCTAATATAAAAACTTATATAATATAAAAAATTATCTCTAACATTTCAAATTTTTAAACTCTACAGACTTCTTGTTAAACTTCTTTTTAAAATGAAAAAAGGGGCTCAGCGCCTATAGCTCAAGGGGCTAAGGAGCTAACCACATACACCACAGCTGGCAGGTTCAAATCCAGCCCTTGCCTGCCAAACAACAATGACAACTACAACCAAAAACAAAAAGAACAGCTTGGCATTGCGACGGGCACCTGTAGTCCCAGCTAGTTGGGAGGCTGAGGCAAGAGAATCGCTTAAGCCCAGGAGTTGGAGGTTGCTGTGAGCTGTGATGCCAAAGCACTCTTCTCAGGACAACAAGCTTAAGGCTCTGTCCCCAAAAATAATAATAATAATAAACAAATAAATAAATAAAATGCAAAAAAGGTAAAGAGGCCTGCAGGGGTCATGAGTTAGGGACAGTATAGCTCAGTAAATTCACTAAAGTTAGCTTGATATAATGTAAAGTGTCCTGAACTCAGAATAAGTTCCAGCTCTGTAACCAACAGAAATTTGTTCTTAAACAAGTTGCCTCTCGTAGGCTCAATGCCTTCTTAAAGAAAATAAAGATTTCCCTGCCTTATTTCACTAGACTGCTATGATGATTTAACAAAGTAACATTTTTAAAAAGCTCAGAGAAATAGTGAGGCAATGGAATAATCTGTTCCTGAATTTTACTGCTAAAAATATTTTGGAGTCACAAACAAAACCCAGCATGTGTTTTTTATAGGTTCTAATACTCAGTTTTCAGAAATGTTATTAAGTCCTAATTTTAACTATTAGTTATTTTATTCTTTGCACCTTATAATTCTGGGCATCTCAGCTATTTTATAATTTGCAACAAAATTTACTTATAAACGTATTACTTCATTAAACTAGATAACATAATTGTCCCCTACTAATAAGCTACTCAATCACACCAAAGGCAGAAAACTAATACATGTCAATACTGGCTTGGACTACTACTACTCCTCTAGCTACTCAAATTCTGACTGAGGAGATCCTTGTTAGAACTTGCTTAATTTCCATATTTATCTCCAACTGATGTGGAAGACAAAACACTATTCTTATTTTTTTAAGTTCTACACAAGAGATGTAAGATGGCATTTTCTCATGTGCAAGATATGTACTTACAATATATTTGCATGGAATAGCCCATGTGTTACTCAGCTCTGTTTTCATTTGTTTTTTTTTGTTTTTTTTTTTTGAGACAGAGCCTCAAGCTGTCCCCCTGGATAGAGCGCCGTGGCTTCACAGCTCACAGCAACCTCCAACTCCTGGGCTCAAGCAAGTCTCCTGCCTCAGCCTCCCAAGTAGCTGGGACGACAGGCGCCCAGCTATTATTTTGGTTGCAGCCATCATTGTTGTTTGGTGGGCCTGGGCTGGATTTGAACCCACCACCTTAGGTGTATGTGGCTGGCGCCTTAGCCGCTTGAGCCACAGGCACAGAGCCTCTCTGTTTTCATTTCAAAGACCACCTTATAAAATATTTTTATAGTAAAAAAAAAAATCATAATTTCAATATTGGGTATACTTGTTTAACTTTGGCTCAAAATGTTTCCTTGGAACCAGTGAGTAAATAGTCAAATGACATTCAAGCACTGTACAAAGTATGGAATGCTTCACAAGTTTGCATGTCATCCTGGTCTGGAGACCATGCTAACCTTCCCTGTATTGTTCCAATTTTAGTATATGTGCTGCGAAAGCAAGCGCAAAGCCCTGCATTTATACAAGGATACTGACTAAGTCATGGCTTAGCTCTGTTAAATCCAACTAACCTACCTTAGATTCAAGGAATTCTGTTGAATGGCTTCCTGGTGAGATAGACTTTGAAAATATTTCAAAACTTTTAGGTATAGATGCAAGTAGCTTGGGAAATTTTTATTACTAAGAACACAGATCACTTAAGGCGGACAACCCTAAGTTGCCACCCACTACTCTAAGGAAGAAAAATATGGGACCTGCCACTACAAAGGAAAGGGGCTACACAGGATATAAGGAGCCTCTGGTACACATCTGGTAGAAGGGAAGAAAGATCACCACTTTTGCAACATTATTTGAACCTCTCTGTTTAAAAGAATCATAACCTACCACTCTGCGAGGCCAAAGCCAGTGCACTACCTGGGCTCAGGAGTTGGAGACCAGCCTGAGCAAGAGCAAGACCCCATCTCTAAAAATAGCTCAGTGTAGTGGCGGGCACCTGTAGTGCCCAAAAGTTTGAGGTTGCCAGGCAGTGCCTGTGGCTCAAAGGAGTACGGCGCCGGCCCCATATGCCGGAGATGGTAGGTTCAAACCCAGCCCCAGCCAAAAACTGCAAAAAAAAAAAAAGTTTGAGGTTGCCCAAGAATGACACCACTACACTCTACCGAGGGCAACAAAGTGACAATCTATCTCAAAAAAATAAAAGGAATTGTGAGGACCAGATCAGCTCCATTTTGTTGTTTCCACATAAGTTACTGTTCCTGGGCCATGGCCTGCAGGGCCCACCCTATAACCCTCCCCATTCCATTCCTAGTTGCTTAAACCACACCCGCAGGGCCCACCCTGCAACCTTTCTCATTCCTTTCATAGTTACTCAACCAAATAGTACCACCCTGGGCAACAGATAAGTTTCTATTACCTTGAAATACAGGTAACCAGGTTGCACCAACTCTAGCCCCCGGTTAAGGGACCCTCCACCCCTTACCTGTACCAATCCAAATTCACCTTTACTAATGAAATCACCAACCACCAATGAAAAGTGTACTCGTATCCGACCCTACCCCTCTTGCTTTCTGTACCCCATAAAAACTGCCTTCACCCTGAGTTCGGGGCTCGTCCTCGGCTTGCATGCCAGGAGAGTCCAGGCCCGGGGCCCCGGGGCTTCCCGGGTCTGTAATAAATCTCATCTTATGCCCTTTACATCAGAGCGAGTCTCGAGTTTGTCGGTTGGGGTTAATTTGGGAGGCTTTCTCGGACCCAACAGAATCATGACTAATATTTACTAGAGAAAAGACAAAGGGCCTCAAAACATAATTTCCCATGAAGGTCTAGGTTAAGTCTAAGTTGAGATGTGGCTCCACGTGAGGTTTTCAGTCACTTTGCTCACTATGTGTGTGGCTAAAGTGAAGAGGCCCAACTGCCAGAACAAGGTGCTGGTGCTTTGGGAGCAGTGGCTGAGCATATAAGCATCTTATGTATGTGAACTAAAAAACACTATAACTCTAAAGTCGAAGACTAAGGGATCTAAATCAGTAAGGACATCATGATAGCAAAGGTCAATCATTACCACACTGCAGGACCACTTTCAATAATAATGCAGCAATACAATCAACAGAAACAAAAGAATGATCAGAATGTCCTTTTTCCTCTCTCTTGACTTGTTAAAGAAGACTGTCTTCCTGGGACTTTAAGGAATCCCTTAGGTTCTTGAAAAATTCAAGGAAATGTATATAGGAGACAGCTCTCAGGGGCTAATACAAGATTTTCTACTAAAATCTTGTCTACTAAGGTAGACATTTCAAGACCCCAATAACTAATTACAAAAATCAAAGATCTGACACTATTTTCATCAAGAGGTTATACTTGGAATGAAATGAACAATGTTGAGATCCCAAAGAATAAAACTTTCAAAAGTCCTGGCTCAGTGCCTGTGGCTCAAACAGCTAAGGCACCAGCCACATACACCTGAGCTGGTGGATTCGAATCCAGCCCGGGCCCACCAAACAACAATGATGGCTGCAACCAAAAAATAGTTGGGCATTGGGCTGCAACCAAAAAAGAGGCAGGCACCTGTAGTCCCAGCTACTTGGGAGGCAGAGGCAGGAGAATCGCTTGAGCCCAGGAGTTGGAGGTTGCTATGAGCTATGATCCCACAGCACTCTTCCTAGGGTAACAGCTTGAGGCTCTGTCTCAAAAAAAAAAAAAAAAAAAAAAGTTTTAAAAGTCCTGAGTTTAAAAAATCCTATATCCATTGCTACTTTTTAACAAGTCTAGCCTTTTGCTGGATTTCTGGCTGATAAAGTAGACTCATTCACTGCCATTCCAAAACTACCTGTACCAAACTATGAAATCGCCAATGATGTGTAAATGATATAGGTGTAATTATTTTAAACCTCAATTTAGTGTTAACTAGCTTTTAATGTAGACACTTATGTATTAAAAGTATCAGCAACAACAAATTCTTTAGTAGCCCATCCATAGACATCTTAAGAAAAGACATCAACACATAGTACTTTGAAGAAGAAACCTAACTATATTTGATAATTCATAATGTACAGCAAGCATAAAGCACTGTTCTAAAGTAACTGAAGAGAAATAATTTCACCTTTAAGTTACTTTAATTATTTAAACAGCTAATTCAATATTCTTTACCAATTTAACATCTTGCTTGTGTGACCACTTAACATGTATTAACAACCTAGGTGATCTTAGGTGCTCAAGTGTTTATCTTTGTAAATTATTGCAAAGATTAAAAGGAAGAGTCAAAAAGGAACCCTCCTGTCCCACTGGGTTTTACCCAGTAGAAGTTGATAGGCAAGAAACTATGCAGAGGTCACTTATCTAAAAGTAGGCAAAGATTCAAGTAAAGAATGATGCATTTCTTCCTTTGTCTGATATAATGTACTGAAATTCAAAGTTAGCTAGAGGTCAGATTAGAAGCCTACCTGCAGGCTTTAAACAGTAACATTAATAATAATGGTAATAACAATAGTTTTCATACTTTCAGTTAATGCTGATAGACATGTGCCAGGCACTGAATTAATGCTATGTATATAATCTCCCACACAATGACCCTTAAATGATATATTACTATCCTTATTATATTAGAAAACATATTTGGTGATGAGTAATGTTCCCAAGATCACACAGTTAGCAGAAGAGAAAGCTAGGAATTCTACCCAGTCTTAAAGAATTTTTTTTTTTTTTGAGACAGAGTCTCACTACATCCCCCTCAGTAGAGTGCTATAATGTCACAGCTCGCAGCAAGCTCACTCTTGGGCTTAAGCAATTCTCTTGCCTCAGCCCCCCAAGTAGCTAGGACTACAGATGCCCACCACAATGGTGGCTATTTTTTGTTGCAGTTGTCAATGCTGTTTAGCTGAGCCGGGCTGGGTTTGAACCCACCGGCCTCAATGTATGTGGCTGGCACGGTAACCACTGTGCTATGGGCACTGAGCCCAGTGTTTTAGAATTTAAAACCTATGCCTCTTCTCTTTATCACCCTCATGCATCTTGTCTTCAATAAAGGAAAAGTTTACCCAATTAAAGTTTATCCAATTAAGTCATTTAGAACACAAATACTCTTCAAAGAAAGCAACTTAAAAAGTCATTCAAAAGACAGAATGATTTTCAACTCCTATTTATGAAGAAAAACTACAAAGAAGCATAAGTTAGAAAAATACTAAAAAAGTTTAGAAGTTCAACATTGAGTCATAAAGTAAACTAAAAGTTAAAGTCCATACTTTATAAAATTAAAAAAGCTAATATGAAACTCTTTTAGCTAATAAAAAATCAAAAAAATCAGATTACAAATAACCATCTGTCAATATTAAAAAAAAAGATGAATCCTGCTATACACTGTCATGCTGCCCAGTCCAAGTAACTGCTTTTCTACCTAAGAATGATTTGTGTTAATATTTTTCACTATATCCTAATATGTAAGCATTAATCTTATTAATCTAATATTTCTGATTTGAATGACTATTATCCCACTAGAGCAAAAATCAGGTTTAAAAAACAAATGGGAACTAACTACTGTACCTTTTCAATTTATCAATTTCATTTACACGTCCTTTGTTCTGTACTAAAAATTCCACCATTTTCTGTTTTTTTCCATTTACAGCAAGCAAAACTGGTGTGAGTTCAGCCTGTAAAGAATGAAAATAATTTATAGTTCACAAAATTAAATTTTTCCCAACTGCACTGAAAAACTTTCTATGTGTATAAGAGGTTATACAAATAAGTTCATGAGTTAATCCTAGAAAAAGTGCTACATACCTCATTGCTGAATATCATGATGGTCACCTTCAGGGTACTCTCCTTGAGAAGTTATGCACCAATGTTAGTGCCTAGTGCACCCTTCAAAGCAATTTTGGAACTCTTTTTCTGGAACGGCTATCAGAGCTGTAACCATATGAGGCCTGACAATTAAGTTTGCAAACTCATCCTAGAAAAAGTGCTACTTACCTCATGAGGAAATATCACTACAGTGACCTTTGAAGTATTCCCCATGGCTATCTGGTGACCACAGTGATATTCAGCAATGAGGTATGTAGCACTTTTTTTTAGTATCAGTTCATGAACTTAAATGTCCAACCTCGTAAGGGCCTATGAACAAACTTGTAGGAAATAAATAATATGGGAAGCAAATAAAAAGCAGTCCTTTCCTTTACACCCTTCTGTGCTCTCCCATGCACTGCTCCTTCCCTTGGAAACACATCTCCTTTGTCTCACAACATTAACTCTTGTCACCTCCAAAATTCACTTCAAGTTCTAAGACTCTGCTTCTAACACAGCATTTATCATGACATAACATAATGACTTTATTGTTTCCGATCTCAACCAGGCGCTTCTTAAGTTCAGGGAGCTGTATCTTTTCTTTTTTTTTTTAAGAGACATAGTCTCACTTTGTCACCCTTGATAGAGTGCTGTGGCATCACAGCTTACAGCAACCTCCAGCCCTTGGGCTTAGGCGATTCTATTGCCTCAGCCTCCTGAGCAGCTGGGACTACGGGCACCCACCACAACGCCTGGCTACTTTTTCTTTTTTGTTGCAGTTTGGCAGGGCCGGGTTTGAACCTGCCACCATTGGTATATGGGGCTGGCACCCACTCACTGAGCCACAGGCACCACCCAGGGAGCTATATCTTTTCTCTCTGTAGCCCCAAACCCTAAGACACAGTAGTAAACGTTTAAAGTATTAAAGCATTCAAGTATTTTTATTGAATTAATGATCTAAATCATTATCTCTAGAGCAGTATTTCTTAAGCTATATTCCAAAGAACATTTACTTTAACAGAAGTTGAGGACTATATACCAACAGAAAGATTTCATGATCATCTGTGTTTGGGAAATATTACACAACTGTGCCTTCTATGTCCAGTATTAAAGAAATCTCTTAAACTGTGCCTAATCCGTATTTGGCAACACTTTTTTTGTTGCAAACATTTGCAGAATTAGGGTTTCAGGAATATATGTTTTTTTTTTTCTTTTCTTCTTTTTACAGGGATATAGTTTTAAGAGCTTTCCAGTAAAGGTGGAGGTTTCTTCTAGATAATACAAACTTGCTTGATTCACTCCTGTCAAAAGTATGAGGATCCTAGTTGCCAATGTGCTTTGGAGCACTCCTTGTCCAAAGGGATCTCCAAGGAAATGGGCTCTGAATTAAAAGAGACAAACTTCAAATGAACTTGTATCACTTATTACTAAATGGGTTGTGGGTTTTCTCCTATTGTAAGATCATAAATTTTATTCTTAACTATTTTCGAAGTTCAGTATGAAATTTTATTCTCAATTATAATGACAACCCTGGGACCCAAATGTGTATCTTTTTTTTTTTTTTAAGACAGAGTCCCACTTTGTCACGCTCTGTAGAGTACCATGGCATAATAGCTCACAGCAACCTCACACTCTTGGTCTTAAGTGATTCTCTTGTGTCAGCCTCCCAAGCAGCTAGGACTACAAGCGCCTACCACAATGCCTAGCTATTTTTAGAAACAGGGTCTCGCTCTAGTTCAGACTGGTCTTGAACCTGTGAACTCAGGCAATCCCCCTGCCTCAGCCTCCCAGAGTGCTAGAATTACAAGCATGAGCCACTGCACCCAGCCCTGTCTCTGCCTTTTTTAATCCATTTTTATTCTGGTTTCCATTTTGATTGCTAAAGTCTTTTTTTTATTTTAGGCAAAATACGAATCAGAAATAAAAATAAAAAGGCTCATCAGTAATACTTCTAATACTGAACTGTATAGATTATTTTTAGCATAATGAGAGCCATTACATCACTTATATTTCTAAGAGAAAAATGCTAAGGTGAAAAATACAATGTTGTCTGCAATATGCATAACCTATGCAAATATAACCATGAGTGACCTAATAAAGCTCAATGTCTCTAACACATTCTAATGGGAAGATGATGTATACATATAAAGAAAGAGTTTTTTAAAAACCAACTTCTAGGCTGGGTGTGGTGGCTCACCCTGTAATCCTAGTATTCTGGAAGGCTGAGGTGGGAGGATCCCTTGAAGTCAGGAGTTAGATACCAGCCTGAGCAAGAGTGAGACCCTGTCTCTACTAAAAAATAGAAAACTTAGCTGGGCATTACGGCAGCTGCCTGTAGTCCCAGCTTGCACTGAAGCAGAGGATCACTTGAACTCAGGAGTTTTAGGTGTCTGTGAGCTAAGGTGACTCCATAGCACTCTAGCCTAGGCAAAAGAGTGAGACTCTGACCCCCCCGGGTCCACCCCCCAAAAAACCCAACTTCTAAATTTTAAATTCAACTCCACTACTAAGGACTTAATATAAAACATAAACTATATATCATAAACAAATATAAGCTATCTCGAAAACCTTGAAATCCTTTTCAATACATACTATAAAATAGGAAAGGCTGACAGGGTCAGACTCTATTCACTGAAAGACTACCTATATGCAAATTTCTAAAGATCCTCTGAATGGAGTCAGTGACTGATGTTTGGAAGGTAAAAGGTGTTCTCTAAACTGACAGATACTGCCAATAATAGTCCTTTTAACTTCCCAGCCACGAAGGTAGAGAAAGACAAATAAAAGTCAGGCTAATATTGTTGGAAAGGAGATACTTGAAGGAAGTAGCACATATTAAACTCTAACTCTTTTAATTTAAAATAGAGCAGAGTGGGCTTGGCCCAGGCCCCCCATACAATGACAGCTGCAACCAAAAAATAGCCAGGCCTTGTGGCAGGCACCTATAGTCCCAGCTACTTGGGAGGCGGAGGCAGGAGAATTGCTTGCGCCCAGAAGTTGGAGGTTGCTGTGAGCTGTGATGCTACAGCACTCTACCCAGGACAAGAGCTTAAGGCTCTGTCTCAAAAATAAATAAATAAATAATAAAAATAGCAGAGTGTTCTGGTGGGCACCTGTAGTCCCAGCTACTTGAGAGACTGAGGCAAGAGGATCAGATCACTTGAGCCCAGGAGTTTGAGGTTGCTGTGGGCTATGAGGCCATGGCACTCTACCAAGGGTGACAAAGTGAGACTCTGTCTCAAAAAAAGCCTGTGGCTCAGTGAGTAGGGCACCAGCCCCAAATACTGAGGGTAGCAGGTTCAAACCTGGCCCCATCCAAACTGCAACAACAACAAAAAAGTAGCTGGGAATTGTGGCGGGCACCTGTGGTCCCCACTACTTGGGAGGCTCAGGCAAGAGAATCATTTTAAGCCCAAGACCTGGAGGTTGTCATGAGCTGTGTGACGCTTCAGCCGGCACTCTACTGAGGGCGATAAAATAAGACTCTGTCTCTACAAAAATAAAATAAAATAAAAATAAAAAATAAATATTTGTTGATTTTAAGATATGGGAATGCATATATATTACACGTATCTTCTCAGTAGTACTGAGGAATGCATTAACCAGGACTGCATTAGAATATCAAAAACTTTTTTTCTTGTTGGTGTTAAAGACTAGGTCTCATTATGTTGTAAAGCTAGAGTCGAACTCCTGGGCTCAGTCAATCCTCCCAACTCAGCTTCCTGAGTAGCTGGGACTATAAGTACATGCCATTATGCCCAGCTTTGAGGAAAGATTAATATTTTTAAATATACTTGTCTAGACTCTTATTAGACACATTAAATCAAAATCTTCAGAGGAGGGTCTAGATTTGTAAATTTTTTTATGCTGTTAATTTCCCCAGGTCAGTATGATGTACAATTCTACTTGACAACTAGTGTGGTACACAATCACTTCAGTCTCGTATCTCACTAAATCACCAATTCCCTTTATCATTTGTGGATTTAGCCAAAAAGAGGAAAAAGTAAGAAATGGAGTCATTTATTAAAAGCTCCACTTAATTTTCTAGGGAAGGGGGAGGATGGGGATAGTAAATTCAAACATCAGCTTTATTTTGCTACTTACAAGTTCCTTATCTCCCACATTCCCATCAAGACATTTGATATTTGACAGCAGAGTTTAGACTCTTATGTAAATGGCTATTTCTGCCAGAATAGGATAATAAGTCAGTTAATTATTTGTTCTTCCCTCTTGTTTCTCATTTTATTACCACCTACTCACTGCCAATCTGGTTTGTTCAGAGTCCTCCTAAAATTGATCCCTACGCAAGATCACCACTAAATCACTCTTTCCCAAACTGAGAATGATGATCCCCAAAACTAAAGAGAACCCTGTCTAATCATATAAACATGTAAAAAAAAAAACCAAAAAACAAAAAACTTCTTGGTATTTTCCCTCAATTACCTAACTTCCAAATTTGCCTGCATGTTTCTGATTACTCTGTTTTTCCCTCTCCATTTTTTCCTCTTAAGTCTTGCTACTTAGAGATAAATCCCTTTCAAAAAAACAAATTTTGGGGCAGCGCCTGTGGTTCATTGGGTAGGGCTCCAGACCCATACACCAAGGGTGGAGGGTTCAAACCTGACCCCAGCCAAACTGCAACAACAAAAAAAATAGCCGGGCCTTGTGGCAGGCGCCTGTAGTCCCAGCTACTCAGGAGGCTGAGGCAAGAGAATTGCCTAAGCCCAGGAGTTGGAGGTTGCTATGAGCTGTGTGATCCCATGGCACTCTACTGAGGGTGACAAAGTGAGACTCTGTCTCTACAAAAAAAGAGAAAAATCAATTTTGTTTAGAACCTATCAATAGCAGCAAGATCTCCATATTTTTCTAAAATGTTTTTATTTCGTTTGGGTTTCAAAATAAAGCCTATAGCCAGGGAAAACTTTGCTTTCCATTTGTTGTTTTACACAAAGAGTAGGGAGGAAAAAAAGCTGGTGGGTAAAAAGTATTTGGGAAAAAAAAGTTTCACCTTTAAAAAAATTCAATGTTTCTGCAAATATTTACTATAAATGCACAAAAGAAAGCTGTACCCTCTAATGCCTCTTTTTTTGTTTTTTGGAAACAGAGTCTCACTATATTGTCCTGGGTACAGGGCCATGGTTTCACAGATCACAGCAACCTGAAACTCTTGGGCTTAAGCAACTGTCTTCCCTCAGCCTTCCAAGTAGCTGAGACTACAGGCGCCCAACACAACACCCAGCTATTTTGTTATTGCTGCAGTTGTCATTGTTGTTTTAGCTGGCCCAGGCTGGGTTCGAACCCACCAACTTCAGTGTATGTGGCTGATGCTGTAACCACTGTGCTACAAGCACCAAGCTCTAATGTCGCTTTTAAAGTATCAATGTTAGAAGTTAAATTTTAAACAAAGTTTTTTGAAAATATTTTTGTTCAGGGAATGTTTAAACTTCCCAATATGGAAAATTGATCTTTACTTTTGAAATGTCAAAACAAATGCATTTCAAATGTTTTGAAAGTAAAGCTGGCTGATTTATACCTTGTTCTTCACTTCAATATTTGCTCTGTGTGAAAGCAGTTTTGCTGTTATTGGTATATTTTCATTATAGACAGCATAGTGCAGAGCAGTGTTGCCATGGACATCTGTAAGATTTGGATCCGCACCATGTTCTAGCAGAATAGTCGCACATTCTTCTTCCTGGCATTGTACGGCCTGTTGGTATTGAACCAAGAAATAGATGGTAAATTCTAGGAATTCAAAATAAACATTCCAAAAATTTCACCATCTAGTTATATTTAAAGGAGATAAATTCATTTTTATTCTATGTATTTAAATCAAATCCATCTCCATATACCTTCATCAGAGCTGTCCTGTTCTCACTGTCACACATGTTAAGCTGGCATTTTCTGTCCACCAAGAGAGTCACCACCTCTGAATGGCCACTGGCACAGGCCAAATGCAGAGCAGTCCTATGAAAGAGAAAGGATACATTAGGAAATTGTAGTGTGCTACCTCATAACATATGGTTATTTATGTAATTGTAAACATCAAGTAGCGTGTATTCTTCTGCTTTCAAAACAAATATTTAATTTTCATCTAAAGAAAGTAAAATACTTTTTAGCTGTTATTACCACATTAGTAAAAGACTAGGCTATGTTAACAGAAAGAGCTTAGCCTTTGGACTCAGTTCAAAATAAGTTTGGATCCTACTTTTTTTTTTTTTTTTTGAGACAGAGTCTCACTATGTCGTCCTCGGTAGAGAACTATGGCATCACAGTTCATGGCAACCTCAAACTCTTGGGCTTAAGCGATTCTCTCGCCTCAGCCTCCCAAGTAGCTGGGACTACAGAAGCCTGCCAAAATGCCCAGCTATTTTTGTTGTTGTTGTTCTAGTTGTCATTGTTGTTTAGCAGGCCTAGGCTGGGTTCGAACCCGCCAGCCGCAGTGTATGTGACCAGCACCCTACCCACTGAGCTATGGGCGCAGAGCCTAGATCCTATTTTAAGCTTTGTCACTTACTAGCTATTGCTCAGCCTTTCTGTGCCTCAAGTTCCTCATCAACAAAATGAAGACAAAAATAGTAGTGGTCCCACAGAACATCATTACTGATGTTTTAATGAGAATCTTTGCAAAGTATTTAAAACAGTTCTTAGCACAAAAAACAGTTGAGTAATTGTTAAATATTATAACTATTACTACTATTTAACAAAAGTAATATGCTAATTAAGTTAAATAATACAATTATACCTATTTTGCACTATGTTTTAAAGATTGGAGACAACACTTTTACTGATTCTAAGATGCCCACATTCTCACATTTTAACATCTCTAATGTAAGAAAGCCACTTGTAATTTATGACTTACTAAAACTATAATTGGCAACATTTAAAAATTCTCTTATTGATACACAAAATAATGGGGCATCATACAATCCATGGTGCCTAACATTACATGAAATACAGCATATATAACAGTTCCATAGCAGTCCTAGTCACTGCCATTTAAATAAATTTTAGTATTTAAAAGTACTATGGCAATTTTGATATGAGGACAATTAATGACAAGGGGAAGGGGTGAGCAGAGAGAGGAAGGAGGAGGGAGGAGTGGAGAGGGGAATAGCAGAGAGAGGGAAAGAGGGAGGGGGGTGGCGCCTGTAGCTCAGTGGGTAGGGCATGAGCCACATACACTGAGGCTGGCAGGTTTGAACCTGGCCCAGGCCAGCTAAAATAACACTGACAACTGCAACAACAATAACAAAAATAGCCGGGCATTGTGGTGGGCACCTGTAGTCCCAACTACTTGGGAAGCTGAAGCAAGAGAATCGCTTGAGCCCAAGAGTTTGAGGTTGCTGTGAGCTATGACACCATGACACTCTACCCAAGGCAACAGCTTGAGACTCTGTCTCAAAAAAAAAAAAAAAATACTTTTGTTTGAAAGGAGACAGGAAAACCTTCACTTGAGGCTGAGTCCTAATGTTCCAATTTCAAATCTCTCAAGCTGCTTGGGCTGGGCAGGGAAACGTGAAGTTATCAAGAATGGAAGGCTCCTAAGAGATAGGTGAACATGTCTGCTACAGAATAAGTATTCATGTTATGTTTGATGAATTGAATTAAGTAAACTGAAAAAATGGATACATACAATTCATAAGTTCAATATTTCTAAAGAAAACTCTTATAAACTAATACTTTTACAATAGTAATAATCATTTATATTTCCTGTTTTTAATTTTCATAGGGACACTAAAATGATTAATTTTTAATTGTTTACATATATAGTACAGCTATATATTATAAAAATATGCATATAATGAAATGTATACATAATAATATCTACAAGCACAGATAGGATTCCCTTTACTTCTGGATGGAAAGCTGGCAGAGGATACCAATCGACAAAAATAATTTTAAAAATTATTAGAAAGTGAGAAATTATTTTTACCTGTGCAAGCTTCATATTTCTACTCTTCCCAAGGATTACTTCATTAATAATTTTACTAGATGGGCGGTAACTGTTGCTCAGTGGGCAGGGTGCCAGCCCCATATAGGAGGGTGGGGGGTTCAAACCCGGCCCCAGCCAGACTGCAACAAAAAAATAGCTGGGCATTGTGGCGGCCATCTGTAGTCCCAGCTATTCAGGAGGCTAAGGCAAAAGAATCGCCTAAGCCCAGGAGTTGGGAGTTGTTGTGAGCTGTGTGACTCCACGGTACTCTACCCAGGGCAATAAAGTGAGACCCTGTCTCTACTAAAAAATAAAATAACAATTTTACTGGACCTTTTATAAATGTTTATTGCAGAAATCAGATAAGAAAAAAATTCACTTATTTATACAAATGTCTGGAAATAACATAAAAATCACATTTTGTACATATTTTTGTCATGTTGGCTAACATGACACAGTCATGTGTCTGTGTATAATCAAACTGATTTTTTTCTCATTTGATACACTAGAGTACATATTCACATATCATTCACTTATGTATCTATGCCACTTTTTTTTTTAGAGACAGTGAGGACTTCCTTTTTTTTTTTTTTTTTAAGAATATGCCACCTGCAATCCTAGCACTCTGAGAGGCGGAGGCGGGTAGATCGCCAGAGCTCAGGAGTTTGAGAACAGCCTGCGTAAGAGCAAGAACCTGTCTTTACTGAAACAGAAAAATTAGCTGGGCGTTTTAGTGAGCACCTGCCTTCATAGCTACTCTTGAGGCGAGAGAATCGCTGAGCCCGGGTGTTTGAGGCTGCACTGAACTAGGATGACGCCAAGGCACTCTAGCCTGGGCCACAGGCCAGACTCTTATCTCAAAAAAGAGGGGTTGCGGCTTGGATTATGAGTACATGGGAAAGCAGCTAAAATTCTGGTTTTGTTTTGCTGCTCATCAAAGACAGCCTGAGTGCTCTACCCTTTCCTTGAAGGCTTCCACGTCCTAGGCGCTGAGGAGCCTGTGGAGGGAAGGTGACAGAGGGCTCCGACTGCCCCGGCCGATCCTAGGAAGAGGGGCTTCTCCCACCTCATCACCGCCACCCGGCAACCCTGCTCGCAGTTCCCATTACCTGCCCATCTTGTCTCTGTCATTCAAGCCACTTTTCCTGAGCAGAAGGATCTGCTGCACTTTCGCCACTTGCCCCAGGCTGGCAGCTTTGTGAATCTTGCCGAGATCTCTGTCTCGGAGGTGGTACCCGGGCTGTGAGTAGACGCTGTTGCCATGCTCACAGCCTACACCCGCGCCAGTCCTCCGCCGGCCGGGGAAGGAGGCCAAGGGCGACTCGCCCTTCTTGCTGAAAATCTTCCTCATCCTTCAGAGACACTTCATGTCCTCCTCGGATTTCAGCTTTCGGCCGCTTCCAGAGCCCACTACTAACAGGTCAACCCTGTTTGGCCACTATCTTCAGCAAGGAAACTCCGCGGTTTCCAATCTCTCAGAGCCCCAGACGTAGCCGCCAAAGCCGCTAATCTAAAGTGCGCCTGCGCGCCTCAGAAAGCAGCGTCACTGCGCGTGCGCAAGAGAGCCTGGAGCGAAAAGGTGGTCATCGCGCATGTGCAAAGCCCGAGGGCTGCAAATCTCTGCCAGTGGTGAAACCAGCGTTGGCTTTGGTGGAATGTTGGCGGGAATTGTCCTAAGAGTTCGGGTCGTCTGCGAAAGGAGGATTCGCCCCAGTGGGAAAGCAGTCTTTACTGGGTAGGAGTAGCATGGAGCTTTAAAAGATTAAAGGCCTCATCCTCCTAAAAAAATGCTTCCAAGAAATTCTCTTAAATCTCCTTTTCCCTCAGTTTATTCCTATTATCCATCCCCGATGGTCTCCACAAGACTTTAGCAGATGCAGCCGCGGAAGGCTGCTGTGGTGGTTTCAGGCAGGCCCCCGCCTGCCAAACAACAATGACAACTGCAACCAAAAAATAGCCGTGGGTTGTGGCGGGCACCTGTAGTCCCGGCTACTTGGGAGGCTGAGGCCAGAGAATCACTTAAGCCTAAGAGTTGGAGGTAACTGTTGAGCTGTGACGCCGTAGCACTCTACCGAGGGTGACATAGTGAGAATCTGTCTCAAAAAAAAAAAAAAAAAAAAAAGAGCTCTACTCCCTCAGTGAACAGCTGTGACTAGGAACTTCCCAACTGTTTTTCAGTTTTTAAGAAACTGCTTTTAACTTTGCTAAAAAGGAGACAACCTGGCTAGAATAATAGAAAGACCAATGAAAACATGCAAAGGTCCTAAGATCTGCTGTCAGGATTTCTGTGGTATATAGTTAGGGAATGCGCTTGTGAACCCCAAAATGTCAATTGTGATGGAAATAAACCAGGGCTTCATGAAAGGCTGCATTGTGGTAATTAGTGCCCAGTGGTCTTTGATCTCCCCAAGGGAGACCTTCATAGCATCAGGATAAGATATACAGTGTGTGACAAGGGTTCTGGACTAAAAATGAAGAGCCTTGTATATGATTCCCAGCTCCGTGGCTTGGATGAAAACCTTCAACTTTCCAAGCCACGGTTATCCCTTCTAAAAGACCTTCAAGGTTCATCTGTTCAAGCTCTAAAATTCTATATACATATAATTCAAAGAGTCTCAAATACCTGTGCACAGCTAGCCATTCACCTTACACATATGGTACCCATATTAACGTATGATGTGTAAAAACCCCAGACCAAAAAAAAAAAAAAAAATCCAGGGCACATGGTCTGGCTATAAGACAGATTTCTTTGAAATCTGAACTGTTGCTTATACTACTTTACGTATAGACCTGGGCTATGGTCTGTGACACCATGGCACTCTACTGAGGGTGACATAGTAAGACTCTGTCTCAAAAGAAAAAAAAATGTTCATAACTATTAGGCTGAAAAAACTCAGAATTTACTTTAAAATGACTATAAACAAATATAAAGAGGATTTTAAAATAAAAGTAATAATAATAGATATAGATAACAGGTGAATTTCTGTCATAACAATAACTTTGAATGGATAGCTTTACAACAAGCCTTTTCTAAATCCACTCATTAAATTGCTATAGTAGGAGTGCAATTTCAAAGTAAGTTATTAAGGAAGAAAAGCATTCATTAGAAACTGACGTACTCGGTTCGGCACCTGTGGCTCAAGTGGCTAAGGCACCAGCCACATACACCTAAGGTGGCGGGTTCGAATCCAGCCTGGGCCCAACAAAACAACAATGATGGCTGCAACCAAAAAATAGCCGGGCGTTGTGGTCCCAGCTACTTGGGAGGCTGAGGCAGGACACTCGCTTTAGCCCCGGGGTTGGAGGTTGGGGTGAGCTGTAATGCCACAGCACTCTACCCAGGTATGTAGCTAAAGAAAACTGATGACAATGACTGAATGAACAAAGGATCTCAGTAAGACATACAAAATGTATGAAAAAACCAAAGGGGAATGTGGGAGCTGAAAAATACAATATTTGAAACGAAAAGTTCAGTAGATTGGAGGTGGCAGAAGAAAAACTAGTGAACTTAAAGAAAATCAACAGAATTACTCAACCTGGAGAAGGAAGGAGTAGGGGAGAAAATGAACAAGAGTCTCAGAGTCCAGGCTGTGACGTCAAATGTGCGAACAGATAAGGGGAATCATAGAAGAAAAGAGAGAAAAGGATAAAAAATACATAGTTGAAGAAATAATAGCCAAAAATATCTCAAATTTGATGAAAAAGATTACAGATCCAAGAAGCTAAAAGGAGATTCACACCTAAAAACATCCTAGGCAAACTATTTAAAAACAAGGCCAAGAAAAAAAAATTCGATGGCTGGGCACAGTGGCTCACGCCTATAATCCCAGCATTTAGGAGGCCGAGGTGGGTGGATTGCTTAAGCTCAGGTTCGAGACCAGCCTGAGCCAGAGAGAGACCCAGTCTCTAAAAAACAGCCAGGCATTGTGGAGGATACCTGTAGTCCCAGCTACTTGGGAGGTTGAAGCAAGAGGATCACTTGAACCCAAGAGTCTGAGGTTGCTGTGAGCTAAGACATCAAGGGACTCTACCAAGGGTGACCAAATGAGACTCTATCTCAAAAAAAAAAAAAAAAAGTTTTTGAAAGCAAGAAAACTAATCTGTCACATAAACGAGACCAAAAATGATTAGCAGCTGCTTCTCACTAAAAATAAT